AATGCGATGGCTGAAAGCCAAGACCTGCAGAAAGAATATGCAGATGAAAAAGGAAGAGACAAAGTAGAAAGCTTTAGGATCGGGGACCTGGCTTTATTAATTCTAAAAACCTGCCTACACATGCAGCCTCTGCTATCTTCAGGACGAAGCTCAGTCCGCGGTTTATCGGACCTTTTGAGGTCGTGGTCAAGCGGGAACTTACGCATACGTTAAACCATCTGAAACGGATGCGCACCCGCCCGGTAATTTTATGTAGACTTGCTCAAGCCGTTTCGAGATCCGGCGCAAGTGAACGCGAAATGTTGGCGCCGCGGTGGCGCCACAGGCGCTCGACCACCCAGAAGATGGACCAGCAACTGGTTTTGAGCACAAAGTGCAACGATATCCATCTCTAACGGCGCCAAGCGCTCCAGTTTCGCATGAAGCGACGCATTCGTCTGCTCACCGACAAGGAGCCGCTCCGACAGAGCGCGATAGCCCTCAATGTGAGGCAGCCGGTGCACAACGTGCTCCAAGCTCTCTAGGTCTTCCGCGCAGCGGTATGCGACCCCAGCACGATGCTCAGCAGATTCCCGATCACGAAGGGCCTCACCCTCAAGATCTCGAAGAGACTTGCGAGACGCCAGACGGCGATCGACCCAGTCGTCATCGTCCGTCGCCGACTCTTCTCGACGAAAATGGTGATGTCCACTAACACGGAGGCCGTCTTGTGGTCGACGTCGTCGCCAGAGTTAAGCCAGTGACTTGTGAAGTGGCGGGGATACCCCGACTTCGAGAACTCGTTGAAGTTTGACAAAGGCAAGACTGTCCAGACGTCGTGGATGCTAATGATTAGAGGGATCATGATTTTCGCATCGTCGTGCGCCCGCGCTTCTCGGTAATAGCCAGGGAAGCCGGGGGGTCATAAGCCGAGCTCAAGCTATGGCTCTGAGCTGCTGCGATCGCAGACCCACCCGTGTGAGAGACCATAGAGCTCGCAGGAGCGTGATGGATCAACCCATACGTCGCCGGGCGACAATCCGAAGGAATTCGGCGACGCGCCTTGAATTTGGCAAACTCAAACCGAAGATGGCTTTCCACGCGCGCGTCCACCTCCTTGTGGGTCAAACGTAAGTTGTACAGCGAGGAAAGTTTCCGGTGCCGCTTCGACCATCGCTTAAAGAGCTCTTTGTCATCTGCAGCGGTTTTGCCAGGGGCGAGCACCACAGAAATAGTCCGCATCGCGGGTACAGAAGCGCCGCCTCGTTGTGCACGAAGTCGAGTGCGGTACGTATACAACGAGATTTCTTGAGGAGCCAAGAAGCGTGCTCGGAGAGCTTTTCGTTCGTCAAGCTCAGCTTGTGTAGTGACCGGGGACCCGACCACGTAGACGCCCAACGATCGGTTGATCGCGTCCTTCGCTTCTGTAGCGGGGTCCGCCGAGCGGAAACTGTATTCCTTCCGGAGGGTCTAGGACCGAACGTGGAAACGAGCGCATGAGAGCCGCCCTGTGGGCAGCCTCCAACTGCTGCTCCTGGGCCTCGTCGGGGCGATTGGTAAGAATACCACTTCCGTTCGGAATTGGACACGGCGTCCACAAGATTCGAGCAGGGCTCACGTTGCGCCGCTGGGGCACCTTGCCGTTTTCTTCTTCCCATCCTGGGAAAGGAGCATCTGACTCGTCGTTGACTTCCTCCAAATCCTAAACAAGATAGTTCATCGCCCGTGGCAGGCCGGTCGGAAGTAGACATCGCGTCTGTGTTTTTGGTTGCGTGGACCTGTCGCTGACAATGCGCCACGTGGTACTCGGCCACCGTGAGCTTGAGATGCGCTTCCTTTGAAGCCGCGGACGTGCTGTCCGATGTTGCACTGCGTACAGGAGACGAAGAAGGGCTCTGCCCGCGGGCGTTCTCGGAGCCGGCGAGGCTGGTGTCTTCGTGTCTTCGACTCAGGGCTCATTGAGCAGAGAATTCGTGAAGAAGGTCCTGGTGTTGTTGATGTGGTGTGTTAGGCACGCGAGCCTCGTTCGAGGCGACAGTTGAATGTGAATTGTGGGTGTTCACAATCTTGATGGGGGTGAGTGTAACGGGGCACGTGCCCTTGTATGAAGAATGTGGGTCACACAAGTGGCCACAAAATGGTGTGATATACACAATAAGGTATGACCACAAAATGGTGTGGCTACACTCAAACAAGAAGTTAATACGTGGCTCAACTGCCAGCAGTTATACATTTCATGAGGTTTTACTTTACAGCTAGGAGAACCTATATAGGCGGCTTTGCCGCAAATTAAACCGAAAAATACAGTTTACATTTTAAACGGAAGAGCTAATTAGTCTTGGGTTAAGATTATATTTACTTTAGAGTATGTGGATTGCGATCCGCTACACTCGTACTGGTTCTAAGTATAGAACGAAGGTCACCGACCTTAACCAAGCTTCCTCTAAGCAAAGAGCTACGGCAGCCCCCGCTCCACATACAGAGCAAGTATCATGGCGCTGCTTTCAGATAAAAACGCCCTCTTTCTTTTCAACATGGCTAAAGTGGCACGCTCGTAGTTCATTTGCCCCAATCAACCTTCTTGGCACATAGGTGGAAATTCGTATCTAATGCGGCACCCAATACAACCTTGAAGAAGGTAAGGCGCACGTAAGACGTTTCGAAGCGAGCCGCGCCAAGATGGGGAACCTCCATGAAGTTAGTCACTGTGACTTTATCCGGAAGAGAGTATGCCAGCATCGTGGCGGTATGCATGCACGTAGACAGTAGTATCATAAGTACTCCGTTACAGAGCCGGTCAACCAAATTATCCAAAAAAAATCTTGCTCCAAAGATAAATGTGACAGTATTGCCGGAGCGTCACTGATGCTCTGACCTCAAATAGAGTCCATCACAAATTACTTCTGTACATACTGTAGTCGAAAGAATGTCATTGTCTCTCGTGGGCAAGTGACAGCATCCATCAGCAAAGCCGGCAAAAGAAAACAAGGTGTAAGTATACCATACTGCCCTTAAGCGCTTTTACGAGGTGAGCATGAATAATTTTGTACTTGTTCTTCTTATTTATGACGCAGAAGCTTATGTCAGTGGGAAAATTCAATTTCTTGTCATGAATCTGCTTCGGACCTCGCACGCAAGAAACCGTCCATATGGGCATATGAAGCAATATTTGGCTTCGATCAGGTCACTTTCATGAAGCCTTTTTTTACCCAGATACCAGACCCGTAACTAGTCTGTACTCAACACCTGAACAATGGATGAAACAATCCACACTACTGCCAAAACAACTGCTTTACTCCTCGCACTCAGTGCTCTTCGGGGATCTCCATGATGGACTCATTCATGACGAATATTGAGAGCGGCTAATCCGCTTACTACGAGAACCGGCTTCGTGGATCTCATCGTTCTGAAAATATGTGCGTACAACACATGAGGATATAGTCCTTGATCCATCATTGTTGACAGCAGGGGCTGGA